TCTCTCTCTCTCTCTCTCTCTCTCTCTCTCTCTCTCTCTTTTTTTCTTTCTTTCCTCTCTATTTAGTATAGGGTCTATGGGTCTGCAGAGTCTCACTATATAGACCAGACTCATAGTGATTATCTTGTTTTCAGCTGCCCAAGCTCTGGGATTTACAGACATGCACCACTACACCTGGACTCTGGCCAGCTTAAGCCACCCTGGGGGTGCAGCTGGTGTGGTATGTGGTGCCAGGGATTGAACCACAGTCCTGGTGCTTGCCTAAGCAGACGCTTTAGTCCACTGAGCTATCTCACTGGCTCCTGGTTCTGCTTTAAAAGTAATATGCCTGCTATGTAGTACAGCTTATAAAGCATTTTCTGTTTAATGCTTCTTCCTTAATAACACATTTTAATTCCTTTGAACATTTGTATCTTTTTATAAGAAAGTAATTAAAGCCTTTATTGTTGTTTTGGCTTAAAATATAGAGAAACACCATAAAAGTTCTTGCAATTATAGAAACATCTTTTAGGCTTCTGCCCAATATTTCTTATAAAGTTATAAGAATTACAGAATAATATATGTTTAATATAAAGTATGCTAAAAGACATCTAATATCAAAACATCTCTTCATTTTATGGGAAATAAAATTTAAGTCTATCAAAAAAATTAGAAAACTGAAATCGCTAAACATTCCAGTACACATATCAGCATGCATCTCTTAAATTAGTTCACAATTAATAAGTTAAAAAATACATAATGGAGATTTTCCAAATCCAAAACCTGAACTGGGAAATGATGACAGTATGTTCAGCACACAATCATGTTATCTTATAGCCATGACAGAGCCCTTAGGATGCAGGGCCTCATGGCACATGAACGCTAGAAGCAAAATCATAGTGCCTTGCAAGAGACCTTCGCTGGCTGCAATCTCCAGAACCTCATTTCTGCCCACCTCACAGTCAGCACCCCAGGTGAGGAGACCCCCCCGCCCAGTGAGCCAGCGGTCTCACAAAACCCTCATGGCCTGCACTACTATGACACCTAATGACATGGCGTTGGAACCAAGTGCAAGGTCGCTTGGACTTCCCACTCCCAGCCTCATAAGGCCAGAGGATGGCATCATCAATCTGATCGGAGCTCACAGGGAATAGAATGCAAGGGAGGAAGAGGTACCTGGTGAACAGAAGCCTCTGTGTTAGCCACAGGTGAAGGGGAGCGACAGGCAGGTGGAGAGGAAATCTCACTGTTGGTTCCCTCTTCCCCAGATTCCTCAGTAACAGGTGACAGCAAGGTGTGACAGCGACCGGCAGTCATCTGCCACAGAAAATGCAACCCAAGAGACATAACAATGAATTAGCTGTGTTAACAAAAGAGATGGCCACGCACAGGCCAAACAAATATTATGTAACAAAGATTAGAATGACTGAGGCCCTAATTCACATATTGATCCCATGTCAGTACTTGAAATTTTTGTCATTTGGTGAATACAATGTTGGGGACTACTTATGAAACCATTAGGAATGAGGGAATGCATGCAAAACATTCAAGGGTTTTTGCTGATTTTTTTTTAAAAAACTTTCTTATTTTTGCTAAGTGTATCTTTCTAAATGTCTTAGAAATATGAATCACACAACTAGGAAGGGGTTATCAAATAAAGTTGGACTGTTGGGGACATCTCAAATTGTAAATCTCCTAGGGAGATAAGTGCACAAATATAACTATAGTCAAGTGGGCCAAGGTCCAGTTACATGTCACTCAAGGCATGCAAATGTGGAGGGAAATACGCAGCTCTGGACAATGCAGTGACCAAAAGACTCAGTGCACTCTAGATCCAAGGTGTGCTGGGGAAGAGCGGTGCACAGAACATTAAAGGAGCTTATGTATTTTATATCCAGTGCTAAAATACAAATTTTCGGTTTTCTTATCTTTTATTTTGCATTTCATCAAACATTTCTGCAAGAACGCACATGCACATTCTGTAGGTAGCTGATTGCCTGGGAAAATGCAATCCTATTATCTCTCAGAAAAGTAGAGCACTGTGCAAAGGTTTTATTTCTCTTTATATTTTGTAAAGCTCAGAGCCTCTCTGTCTTATTGCTGAATTATAAACAAATGCAGGGCGAATCTAGGATAGGTTAGGTAAATGGGCAGTCCCAAGCAAATAGTTTCATTTTTAACTGTCACCGTTTACTAACTGTCTCAGCCCAAATGTAGTCAGAAGTAGTTAAAGATCAAGCCCTCAAATGCTAACGCTAACCCTGAAATAAGCCTCAGCGGGGGCGCCGGCGGCCTCTGAGACACTCGGGTCCAGGCAGCAACGCCGGCGGGAGCTGACTGATCCTTACCATGACCACAGAGGGGTGGGCCGAGGGTGTGGGGAGGAGCTCTCCGTCCAGGTCCTCAGTGCCTTCCGCCAGCCCCTCGACCTCTGTCACCGTCAGCAGCATGGTGGCGTGCTTGGCTTTCATCGTCAGCATCTTGCACTTGGAATTCAAGGAGGCTATCTGCTCCTGGTAGCCCTTGATTTTCTGCGCCAGCTCCTGAGAAAACATTTCCCCCCTGGGTGTCAGACTGCATCAAAAGGAAACAGAAGTAGTAGCGTTCATCTTCCTGCGGCGCCGGCCAATGAGAGGGCAGAGCCAAGCCGGCGGGAGGCAGGATGTGGACTGTGGCGGCGGCGAGAGCCAGCCCGCATCTCAGGCAGAGCCAGCCCACGGCGCTGCAGTCCAGCCGGGCTGAAAAGTGCCAGAAGGCCTGGTCGGGGCAAAAGCAGAAATAAGGTGTGGCGGGTGAACGACTTTTCACCGTGGGAGACGCTACAGCGGAATCGTGAAAGTCCTGCGTTAAGAACTGACAACTTTCTTTAAAACGCCTAAAGCATCTGAAATGTACCAGATGGTTTGTGCCATGGAAATTAGGTCATGTGATAACTAAAACTACAGAAAAAATGCAGCGCTCAGCTCTTGTCCTACACTGAGTATGGTCACAGAGATGACAGTCAATTGCCATTGGAAGGATCACAGAGTCAACTGCTTGCCTGTGCCTGTGAGCATGTGAGCTCTTTGTACATATGAAAACTTAATTTCTATGCAAACTGCTCCCAAATAAAATTTTGTGTATTCAACAATTTTTTTTTCTGTTGTACTCAGCCCTGCAGCAAATATTTCTGATGCTTCAAACAATAGCTCTGAAATGCCTTTCAAACCTAATGGCTTTTAAAGCCCCCCAGCTTTTTCTTGATACTAGGAATCGAACTCAGGACCTTGTACTTGGCAAGCAGGCACTTATGCCACTAAAGTATATCCCCAGCCCCTTTAATGGCTTTTACTTTTATTTATTTTTGGGAAAAAAAATAGCTAGGAATAAAGACTTTAAAATGTTTACTAAGGGCTGGCCAAATAGCTCAGTGGATTAAAGCACCTGCAAGCAGGTGCAGGGGCCAGGGGTTGCATCCCTGGGCCTGCTGTATGGGCCCCGCACCCCGGGACATGCTGAGACAGCAATTGAGACTGGGCATGGTAGTGCATGCCTGTAATCCCAGCTCTTGGAAGGCTGTAAACAGGCAGATCACTAGGAGTCTGATCTAGTAGTGAGACCCTGAACACCCTGTAGACCCTTCCCTAAAATACAACTGCTCCTAGCTCTTAAAATGGTAACTATAGATCCATCTAGGAGTATGATTATCTCACAATTTTATAGATAAACATCTGGGTGTGGTGGTGCATTCCTGTAATCCTAGCATTTGGGAAGCTTAGGCAGGAGGATCATTGTGAATCTGAGGTCAGCCTGGGCTACAGAATGAGCTCAAGGCCAGCCTGAACTACATAGTGAGACTTTCTCTTAAAACTTTAAAAAAATAAATACTATATTTATACTTGATTGTGTGTAAAGAACTATAAATATTAAGTGCCAAATTAATATTTTCTTGCATCTTTTTAAAAGACAAAAACCATATATTCCAAAAGCTTATTCTTTTTGCATTACCCCTTTGTTTGACCCTTTTGCTTGAGACTATGTCATTTGGGTT